AGAGTTTTTTTCACTACCTAACACTGACTATGCTTTTTTACAAGCTGTATCATTACAAGACAATCTGAATTAAAAAAGGAAGTTTCTGATGAGCCAACATTTCCTTCTACAATAAGAATGAATGAATGGTTTAAAGCTGGAAGGTTGCGAGCTAGCAAGAGGCTATTTCAATGAAACTGGGAACCTTTTTTCAGTGACCAGTTCAAGAATGAACTAACAGCTAGCAAAACATCCAAACATGTGAAATTTATATTTGTTAGAAAGCTTAACATGAATTATAATGCACAAAAATAGATCTTAAAACCTGAGTCAACATGAACCATACAATAAAATGAAGAAGGGAGGAAAAAAATCTTAAAGAGGAAAAGCAGACAACATACAGGGTGACGCAAAATAGGTTAACAGTTTATTCTTGTATTATTATGTATTAATTATTATCTTACATTCCATATGAACTGTAAACCTACTTTTGGCCTCCCTTGTGTATTCAGCGATGTTTGTCTAGATGTCTTGATTATTGACTACTACCTACGGTGAACCTCAGACATCAGGGTTTAGAAATGTTCTCAGTCTTGCCCTAGCTGGTGTGGCTCAGTGGATTGAGCACTGGCCTGTGAATCAAAAGGTTGCCGGTTCAGTTCCCAGTCAGGGCACGAACCTGAGTTGCAGGCCATGTCCCCAGCAAGGGATGCACGAGATGCAACCACTCATTGGTGTTTCTCTCCCTCTCTTTCTCCCTCCCTTCCGCTCCCTAAAAATAAATAAAATCTTAAAAAAATTCATACACACACACACACACACACACACACACACACGCGCGCGCGAGCTCTCAGTTTTAACCAAAGAGTTAAAAGAAAAGCGAGTCAGACATACGCAGTCTGACTTCGGGAACTAATGCTGCAAGATCCCTCACTCCGACCACGAGGGGAGAAACACCAATGCACGGCTGCCTCTTGCATGCTCCCAACTGGGGACCTGGCCCACAACCCAGGCATGTGCCCTGATCAGGAATGAACCGGTGACCCTTCAGTTCACAAGCCAGCACTCAATCCACTGAGCTACACCAGTCAGAGCCAAACATTTTCTTATGTTATTTAAAATTAATTAAATAACAAACAGAAATTAAAATTGCAAGCAGTTCATAAATGGCTGCCTGATATCATAATCATACCCTAATGTATGTAATGATTTTTTCATTTATAAGTACTATAAATAATGCTGTGATCATTATCTTTGTATATAAATCATTGTCCACATTTCTGATTATTCCTACAAAGAGGAGCCCAGATGTTGAACTACTAGGTAAGAGTTTGAACAATTTAAGGTTCTTGGTAACATCTGCTAAACTAACTTACAGAGAAGCCATGCCAGTTGCGCAGTGAGTTGTGCCTGTCACAGGGCAAGGTGCCCCACCACTGCCTCTATCTCTGAGGGCAATCATTACAGACTTTTTCCTGATCTGGAAGAAAAAAAGACCACCACATTGCTATTTTAGTTTTGTTTTGATTATTAGTGAGTTTTAATGTTTTCACATGATTACTAGCAATTTGTATTTCCTTCTCAGTGAATTGCCCCTTGTGTGTTCTTTAACCATGGAGAGGTAATCTTTGCTAAAGTACTTTAGCTACACAATACATAAATGATATATATCTTTCCTCAAAATCTACTTTCACATATCTTGAGCAAATTATTTTCTTAGAATTTTCTAAAGAAAACTTCATCGACTCAATAAAGTAAAATAAATTCTTAAACCTGTCACAACAGTGTAACACTGAAATAATTATGAAATGACTAATATTTTCTTAAATAAATCATACGTTAAACAGTTTACAAAGAAAGGTATTAGTCCTGGCTCTGTCTTAAACCAGAAATTTTATCTTAAACAAGAGAAAATTTCAATGACCCTAAGTTTGTTTAGCTGTAAAGTAAGACATGGAATCTTTGAGTCCAACTTCAAAACTAGGCAGTCTTGTGCTTACATAAAACAATGCACAGCACCACCTAGAGGTAAAAAGAAATAGTTTTACACATTTTTCCCCTTAAAAATAAATCTGTTGTCTTGAGCAAAATATCAAGTTGATAAATTTTATATTAGCACGTGAGTAAATGTCTAAGAATTTCAATACCTTCTGTAAGACAGAATAAAACTTCTCTAATGAATATGTCATAGCACTTGCAAGAATTCTTAGCTCCCATATAAATCTAGCTCAAGATTTTTCCTACCATCACTTTGTCTTTGGCATTGCTTGAGAAATCTATGACCTTATCTTAAGCCTTTATACTCTAAGGACCATAAATGTCATGATTACATAATAATGTGATATATTATAGCACACAATATATATTGGATATCCTAGATGTGCTCTTTTACCTTTTGGGGCTTTGCGGGCATGATGAAAACCATGGTCAAAAAACATTTTATCTATGATTAGACAGACTATATCACTTCCTGGCTTCAACTTCAGGGAAAAGAATGCCCACGTTGGAAATGTAGGTAGCATCAGAAAATTCCAGTGGTGCTCTGAATCTACTTGGTGAAGTCTATGGCTGTCCTACCCTGCTAACATCTATATTATTACAACAGCTTTGTTTCAATGCTCAAGTTAGCAACAACGCTCTCTTTATAACCCACTTCGGAACTGAACTATTTTAATTTGTACTTTCTAAATTATTGAGAGTTTTTCAGCTTCATCATGTTTAACCATCTAATTAAACTCCAAGCTCACCGAGTGATACAGTATCTTCTTACTGTCTTGGATTCACTCCTCTGCCCAGGTGTACTATACTGCGAATGTCTGTGTGAACTTAAGTGACAGTGCCTTGCTAGTGACTGAAGACAATTCTTCTGGCAAAGGTGAATGTACAAAGTAAAATGGAGTTCAGGCAAAGAAATGTTAAAAAAAATTGTTGTGACAAAGTTCAGGAAGAGTGTTGCCTAAGATCTGATTTGACCCTCGACTGATGTAATTTAGATTTAGAAAAAAGGAAACAAAATCCTTTTGGAAACTGCCTTAAATCTGTATGGGATCCAATTTCTAACTCATATTTTGGGGAACAGATTTCCTTTGGAGAATTGCATAATTATAAACTGTTCTGATCAGGGAAGAGAAAAAAACCTAACAGACCTTCCCAACTGAATATCCTGAAAGTGTTCAAACATCTGGAAAAGTTGAAAGAATAGTACTATGAGCACCAATAAACCTACTACTGTTAACAGTCTTCAACCATATTTGTTTCTGAAACATTGAAACTAAATTGCAGGTACCACGAGACTTCACTCTGAAATACTTCAAGCATCATTTAAGAACAAGGATATTCTCCTTCGTAACCCCTATACCACCGTCACACCTAAGAAAATTAACAATTGTGCTCTAATATCCAGTTGAATTCCAAATGTCCACAACTGTCCCAAGGCTGTCCTTTATAGCTGTTTTTATAAATAAAAATCAAGATATGATCAAGATTCACAAATTGCATATAGTTCATTTTTTCTTTGAAGCATTCATTTATTGGGCATTTATTGTCTTCCAGGTTTATACAGGTTTTTGTATTTAATTTTCACAAGAAAATGTGAGATAGTTGTTGTTACGCAAAATGGTAATACCTTAGCATCTGAATACTCTGCTGTATCCTAGTTTTTCACCATTATATTCACAGAATCTAGCAAAGAGCCTTGAACATACTAGGCACTAATATGTAGCTGTGGAATACATAAAACATGGTGTGCTTGTCCATTCTGATGGAAAAACTGCAATAAAAACATGATAAACTACCTAATTTGTTGTGATAGCAAACGGAGGCAGGGGTGGCCTCCCACCCCCACTGCCTGCCTCTGGGCACTTTGGTGGAACGTGGGAGTGGTCCTCTGCTGGTGGGGGTGGGTCCTCTGCTGGTGGGGGTGGTCCTCTGCTGGCTGCCTCAAGCAATCTGCTACAGGGTTACAATTACAATCCATGCCAATTTTGCCTCCAGTCAATATATCCATTTTTTGTTTCAATATTAAAAATGGTTTTAAATTTAACATCAAGGAGAAAAAGTATTCCATTTGCTTTACCAGGCTACAGGGCATGCCAAATTTGGACAGAAATAAATGAAAGGGAGCCAATAGCAAATATCCAGGCAATTTATTTTCTCTTTTTGGGGGTTCCAGTATTTTCAGGCCTCAGATTCACAGAGAGATACAAATATTAACAGCATTAATATTTTAATGTTTGTGAGTTACAGCAGGCTAATCCCTGACAAAATATATACAGAATCTTGCTAAAGAGGTAATTAGAGTACATTGATTTCAGCCTAATTTTGGTAAACATTTTGGTAAGTATTATCTGGCAGGAAGTTAAGTCATTTATGTCATTTATTGGACTAACTTGTTCTCTGATGCTTTGTGAGTCTCTTAGAATCTAAGAGAAATATTTGTCAAAGAACTGTTTTTGAAAAGGAAGGTGGCTGATGATTTTTACCATGGAGACCATAACTTCTTTGACGTGTACGTGAAGAATCTGAAATAACTTGGTTTCCATGGTAAATAGTAATTACAACAATCTGGTACAGAAATGTATAGTTCTGCCTTCCAGTTTAGCCGCTTAGTGGAATCTGCTAAATCAGCCAACTTTGTAAGTCACCCACCAGCATTTAAAGTGAACAACGGAGTCATTCATCTTATTTAGATTTTGACAGTTTGCTGTGATATCTGTTTGGTTCTCTATGAAGGGAATTACTTAAACCTGAATTCAAAGAAATTCCTACTAGTACCTTCCCTTGAGCCAGCATACATCTTTCAAAAAGAACAGTTTTTGGTTACTTCTTTGTGATGTAAGTTTACATAAAAAGGCTAGTATTAATATGACTGATACGACTCTTTCCAAAATTTATTTATTTTTTTTTTTTTTTAAGCATCCCACTTCACAGACTGAGAAAGTAGAGGCACCTTCTCTGGAGCAAGGTATTCTCCGGGAGCACGCAGAATGGCAGGGGTGTTCAGTGTTCAGAGTGTGTCCGGGTTTTGGGGGCAGCCTGGTCCACTCCTGCAGGTTTTCTTCCCTGTCAGAAACTTGGCTTCCATTATGCAGATATTGGAAAATTGTTTTCCAGTGAATGCTGTGCTCATGAAAACACTGATCTCTGTTGAAGATTGCATCACCAGCCAGCAAGCATTTTTAAATTAAAATGTCTTCAGAAACATTAGAGATGTAGAGCACAAAGACCAAAAAGAGAGATTTTCATTAATAATCATGTAGAAAGTCCTTAGTATTTTTTAGGAAAGAACCAAAAAAAAAACCAAACCAAAACCCAACCAAAACCAACCAAAAAAAAAAAATTAACTATTTCCTCTTAGTAAATTAGAATAAATATGTCATAAGAAGAGAAAGTTTGTCTATTTGGATCATTACTGAATCCACAATGCTAACTCAGAGCAGGCATTCGAGACACGTTTACTAAATGGACACACTGAACGTGTCAACTCTTGAGGCACCTATTAGGCTCTGGGAAGACAAGGCCCACCAGGAGGCCTCTCAGTCTAAGTGGCGCCATGAAGTGGGTGCTTCCGCTCCACACAGCTATAATCTGAGGCAGCTCCAGAAACCTGGTAGAAACAACACGTTTGAATGGAACCCAAAAGGACCCAAAGGCACAAGCACAGGGGAAAAGCAGGCAGTTTACCTTCTCAGCCTGTAAACTCTGGCACATGACTGCGCCTCGCTTGACCCTCGTCCACTGGACCATGGGAGCTCCCTAGGACCAGGCTGATGCTGGGAAAACCCAGACCTACTAGATGAAGAGATCTGTCTTGCCAGATATTAAGAATTATTTTCAAGTCTTAATAACTCATACAGTTTTCTGGTATAATATAGATAAATTGACCAACTGACAGCTTAGAAACAAGCTTATATGTGGATTTTTAAAAAAGATTTTATTTATTTTTTTTGAGAGAGAGGGAGAGGGAGGGAGAAAGAGAGGGAGAGAACCATTAATGTGTGGTTGCTTCTCAAGCATCCTGTACTGGCCTGCAATCCAGGTACGTGCCCTGACTGGGAATCAAACTGGTGACCCTTTGGTTCGCAGGCTAGCACTCAGTCCACTGAGCAACACTAGCCAGGGCTATATGTGGATTTTTTTGATATATGACAGAAGTAACATTATAAATCAATGTAAGAAGGATAGAATAGCCAACAAATGCTACTGGGACAACAGGATATCCATATTGGAATAAATCTCAATCTGTACTTCACATCTAAATGCAAATTTAGGACCTAACTAGGAAAAAAATCACTTTAACTCTTAGAAGGACACATGCTACAACAGGGATTAAATTTCAGGGTATTACACTAAGCATAATAAGCTAATCCCAAAGGCAGATAGTGTATCATTTCACTCACTGAGGTACCAAGAGTAATCAAATTCATAGAGACAGAAAGCAGAATGGTAACTGTCAGAGGCTGAAAAGAGGGAATGGAAAATTAGTCTTTAATGAGTAGAATTTCAGTTCTGCAAGATGAGAGAGTTTGGGGGATGGATGGTGCTGACAGATGCACAGCAACATAAATGCACTCAAAGCCACTGAACTGTACACTTAAAAATGGTTAAAACAGTGCATTTTATATTATGTATATTTTACTACAATCAAAAAAACTCTAAGAAAAAATATAGCCCTGAATTAATTAATTCAAAATAATTAATACTTTAGTTACTGGATATAAAAAGTCTACATACAAAGTTACTAGATAGAAAAATAGATTTATTTTTTACTTTATAGTAGCAACTGGTAGGTAGAAAATTAAAAAATTTTAAAGGATACCATTTGCAATGCATAACAGTATGAAGGCTTGGGAATAAATCTAACACTAAATGTTAGAGTCTATGGAGAGAATTTTTAAAGTTTATTTAAAATATCAGCCCTGGCTGGTGTGGCTCAGAGGACTGAGTGCTGGCCAGCGAACCAAAGAGTTGCCAGTTCGGTTCCCAGTCAGGGCAAATGCCTGGGTTGCGGGCCAGGTGGTATGTCTCTCTTTCTCCCTCCCTTCCCCTCTCTCTCTAAAAATAAATAAAATCTAAAAAATAAATTTAAAAGAAGTCAAATAAGACCTAAGTAAATATACAGGGATTGGAAGATTCGATACTGTATTGATAAATGTTGAGCTACTGATCATGAAGAAGTAACTGGTACAGAATTTACTCTCCTACCATAAACAACTAGAAACCTGGATAAAAGACTGCAACGACAGACAGGAAAAGACTCTGATCTCTGAGAAAAAGAAAACAGCTTCCTATCTGGTGACAATTTTGAGATTACAGCAAAGGGAAGGAAAACTCAAAGCACAGTGGTTTCACTAAACTGAGGAACTAGAGACTGGGTTTTTAAGAAGGGAGGGAGCTTAGTACCAGAAAGGAGGGAGTTAAACAGAGAAAGAACTTTAAAAATCTGCAGAGTCTCCTTGAATCTTTGGCTGAACACCAATCTGAGCATGCACAGAATGAAACTCCACAAGGCTTAGCAAAGAACTTCCACCAGAGCTGTAAGCTGAGCAACTCTCATAGTACACAGAGGACTAGGAGATGTTCAAACTCTACCCAACCAGAGTAGATCAGCCTCCCTAAGAAGCCACTGAGCAATCAACAGAAACTCCAGAGAGGTTAAAGTTTAGTATTAAAGTTAACTAGCCCTAGAATAAAGGCCATTCTAGCAACACTCTAACAAAGCTTAAAGTAAACCTTGAAAATATCAAGTTGATCCACAACTAACCTAACCACTAACCTATGCCAGAACTTCAGCACTCCTTGAAAAAAGACAACAAAATGAAAACACTTAACAATGTAACATGATACCTGATACCAAATTAAAAAATCACTAGGCACAAAAGACCCCAACAATCTGTGAACCAGAAAAGGACCTTAAAATGGTATGTAAAATATGTATAAAATATTATAAAGTGTTCATATGTACATAATACATGTGCATATTTCATATTCACATACATCTCTCTCTGATCCTACCCTTTTCACTTTGACTTAACTTCAGTGCTAATGCCAGATTTCCTGATAATGCAAAATCAAACAAAAGCAACATAATTATTAGTGAGTATTAAAGAAGCCATCCTAGTAATTTTCCTTATTCATATCTATCCAACCCTTTAAGAGTAAAATAAATAAATAAAGGAAGCTAAACATTCCTCTCCCTGCATTCCCAGTATATTGTCCCATGTCCCAGGGTTATGCACCCAGTAGCGTGCTGGAACTGGCTCTTACCAGTTGATAAGAATCAATGGTTAAATATTTAAGATTTTGCAATTCAATTGCTAAACTGTTGGTAGCTTGAAACCAGCCATTTCACTGGAAGTATTTACACTACAGAAACCCACAAACAGTACAAATCAGGGCTTCATTTCAGCATGCGGATGTGCTAGTACACAACGGTGTGTTTTCTGGATGAAGAAGCATCTCCTAGAAAGTCAGCAAACTGTGGCCTACAGGCCAGATCTATCCCGCCACCTGTTTTAGTAAATAAAGTTTAAAGCCTAAAATATTTACTATCTAGCTTTTTTTACAGGAAAAGAAATAATAAACAAAAGCTATATTGAGCAGAAGTAGTAGTTGGACAAGCCAAATAAAAATAACTGAAATTTGAACAGAATTGATCAGAAACTTCCATCTTAGAAAAGTTATTTTTACATATTTTTATGCACTGAAAGCCTACAATCTTACAGCTATTTTTTTCCCTACAGTCTCAGATGCCTAAAACTAGTATAATTAGGTAGATAATCCAGAAGGTACCATCATCAAATACAATCCCTTCATTTTTGGTTTATCTAAGCAGTTCTGTATAGACATTTATTATTCTCCAATAATGTATATCCAATGATGGTGCCATACTCTGGTTTTCTGACCTCAAAGGTCCTACCAACCATGGTCATACATAGTTTTTGTTTGTTTTTTAATTTCAGTCATTAGTGTAAGAGAAGATTAGGCATATAAATCTAAATTTCCAGCATCTTTTGAAAAATCAAAAGATCTGGAAACATGAGGTCTAGATTCCTGTGACGAGATGCAGCTAACTCACTTTGGAAGGGTCACATAAATTCCCAAGGGACCCATCAATTCCTATTAATTTTTGACACTTGAAACATTCCCGACTCACTCATTTATATTTCTTGTTTCAGCACCACCCTCTTCCATCCCACAGGCAACCGTTCTTCCTCTAGATTTCTCAGTCTCCTTAGCGAGTTCTTTTCGTTCATCCATCTTTTAAACATTAGTATTTCTTACGGTCTCATTTTTGGCTCTCTTCTCATCTCCTTCTGTAATTCTAACTGGACAACCTCACCTATACTCATGACCTGGATTTGAACTATCTCAATAATAGGCCCAGTGATAAGGGTTAAGAGCAGGGACCTTACACTGGTAAGGTGGGCCGAGAATTTTCAGAATTTTTCTTCTCTAGCCCTGACCTCGTATCTAAAACCTTGATCCACATTTCTATCTATCGACATCTCTCAGCAAACAAGATGATATGCCCAACACTAAACTATTATCTTTTCCCAAAATCTGTTCCTCATGACTTCCTCATATTGTTTTTTAATAGATATTTATTTTATTTCATATTACTTTTTTTATATATATAGAGAGAGAAACGTCAGTCTCTTTCCCCACCTATTCACACATTCATTGGTTTTTCCTGTGTGTGGCCCTACCAGGGATTAAGCCCGCAACCCCTGTGCATCGGGATGACACTCCAACTAACTGAGATACCCAGCCAGGCTACTGTTCCTCATACTGTTAGTGGCACTGTAAACAACCCCATTATCTCAGACAGACTCTTGGTATTCACCTTAGACTTTCCTCTCCTTCTTACTTATATCCAATTTGTTTGAAGTCCTATCAATTTTATTCCATTGATATGCTTCAAAAATTCCCCCTTTTTCATTTCCATTTGAATCATTTAGTTCAGACATACCTCATCTTCATGTAGGACTATAATAACCTCTTGTGTCCATGCTTCTTGTTTTGACCTCCTCCAGAAAGTGGCAGTGGACGCTTTCTAAGAGTGCAAACCTGACCGTGGCTCTCCCCTGCTTAACCTCCTCCAGTGACTCCCCGTCCCTTATAACATCAAGTCTAAGTTCCCCTGCATGAAACAATAGGACGCCCTGTGATCTAACTTCTGACCACCTTTAC